GTTTACTTTAATATTGTTTACAACAACCACGTTAAACCATTTTAAAGCTGTGTCCCCCCTGAAAAGCTGATGTTGATGTATACAGTAAATTTTATATTCATTATTCTGTAACTCCAAGCCTACTCAGGCATAGCCTTATTATTCATGAGCCTCGTGTTTAAACCATGAGTTCATTTTACTCTGCTTTTATCCTCATGTAAAGAAGGCTGTTTGAAAAGGCAGAGCTGCTTTTCTTTCTGACCTCCCAGGCTTCCTTTCAATTCCTAACTAAAATCTCACCTCCTCCGGGAAGCTTTCCCCAGCCCTTCTTAATTCCCTCACCTTCCCTCTGTTAATTATCTCCTATTTAAACTGTATGTAACTTGTTTTGTTATATTTGCATGTTGTCTCTCTCATTAAACTGTAAGCTCCTTGAGGGCAGGGGCCGTCTTTTGCCTCTTTTTGTATCCCCAGCACTTAGCACAGTACCTGGCCCATAGGAGGCACTTGATAAATGTTTACTGATTACTTGAAGGGATAAATGGCACAGATAATAACTCACATCTACATTGGACTTTAAGGTTTACAAAATAATTTCCACTCAACTTTGTGATATGAGCTAGGAAGCACAAATACTATAGGATGCATTTTAAAGATGAAAAAACAGAGCTCAGAGAGGACAAGTGACTCGCCCAGGGTCCCACAAGCTGGTGATGTCAGTCTGGATTTGAATCCTCATCTTAGAATTCACCAGCTCGTCTCACTGTACCATGTAGCTGCTACAACTCTCACAGCTGCCAAAAAGGAATCACTTCTCAAATCAGTTTCTTATCTTGGGGCATAAATACAGCAATTCAAATACAGCAATTCAAACTCTGTGGCTCAATGGCTTCCGGGAAATCAATATGGATTAATATTGCCAACAGATAGGAATCTCTCAATTCTTATCAGCATTCTCAGGGAAAGAAGAGTCCTATATACAGTCAATGATTTTAGGTATATTTTTAAAAAGGAAGCAGAAGCATTCAGCTAAGCAAACCTTCATCTTTTGCTGGATTATTAATCATAACAGTAAGGCATCAATCTGTTTGGACCACTCTGGTTTGGGAGTTTTTTGTTTTGTTTGGAGGGAAGGATGTGTGTTCAAATAACGAGGCAAAGCTAGCTTTTTTCTAGGTTTTTTTCATCTGTCCTTCCCAAACATGGCTGTTAATTTACTGTTGGTAAAGTTAATAAAATGAACTTTATCTGCTACTAACCTGGTAGAAATAATATTGCCCTCAGCCAAATGTCCATCTGACTATGAGAAAGAATCCATCTACTTTTTGCTTTGGAATTTGGTGTTACAGGCTTGTGGCGGATATTCTACTGATCATTTTCATTTAAAAGTACATTTTAGATGACCGTAACCACGGCGTCACATATGCCTGCCAGACAGATGTAGCACAGTAAGGACACAGCCTAGTCGTAGCTTTCTGTCTAGGCATAGTGAGGGGTGAGAAGTTCCTCCAGACCCCTGTGGGAAAGTCTGTTTTGCACTGGACCCAACTGCTATAGCTTTGCTTTTACCTTTCACTTTTTTGGGTGGTAACTACAATTTTTTTCTGACTTAATTTAAAAAAGTAATTAATGGAGAGTGAAAGGGAAAACCACTGAAATAGCAGCTGAGCTGATACTGACAGCTGTCAAAACACTGTAAAGAAAAGCCTTTTGTAATGTTCAGAATAGATGTCGATAGCTAAGACTGCTCAAAGGGTTTTTTTTCTTTATTTTTTAAATAGCAGCCCTGGTTTTCCCTTTCACCATCTAGATGGTTTTTTGGTGTCTGTGTGTGTGTGTGTGTGTGTGTGTGTGTGCGTGTGTGTGCGCGTGCGTGTCTGTGTGCATGCGCGTGCGTGCGTGTCTGTGTGTGTGTGTGTGTGTGTGTGTTGTGTGTGTGTGTGTGTGTGTGTGTGTGTGTGTTGTAGTTTGGATCACGAGGTAAATGAGTCTGGGACCTTATAATAACCCTACAGTAATCTCAAAAGGCCATGGCCAATCATACCAAATTGTGTTATCTTTTTTATTTTTAATTTTTCTGGGAATAAAAAAACACCCAGGCCCGGAGCAGGAAGGGATTGCTGCGTGGTGTCTTCCTGTGCTGGCCACAGCTCTAGCCAGTGCTACCACATCCTCACTTTGTGAGCACCAAATGCAGTAGTAAAAAATAAATTGAGGATCAAGACCGTGATTTATTTTTGTTTTCAAAAAGCGAAAGTTAAGAGTAAAGCCAAAACTACAGAGCCAATAGTGACAGCTTCTACTGGTCCAAATTCGCAAAGGGGATCTGGAGGTTCTCCTAAAATAGAAAGAAAAGAACGGGAAAAGCATTACATTAAGACATTTTTTTATAAATGATACACTGCACCTAAAATGTTGTTTCATACACAATTTACTTTCTGACCAACATAAACCAGCTGAATCACTCCTCTCTTCCTAAGGTCCATTCTTCCGAGGGCTTGGCTTAAGGAGGCCTATATTAGACAAGGAAATGTTTGGCTTGGAACAGACATTTATTAAGTACCTACTAGGTGCTGGGCACTATGCTAAATACTTAACAAATATCCCATTTGATCTTCACAACAACTGTGGAAAGTAGGTGCTACTATCTCCATTTTACAGTTGATGAAACTGAGGCAAACAGAGCTTAAGTAACTTGCCCAGGGTCAGCTGGAAATGTCTGAGACTGAACTTGAGCTCAGGTCTTCCTGCCTCCAGGCCCACTGCTCGATACCAAAAAGTGAAATTTCAAGCAGATTTCCCCACTTACATATTTTAAGAATAGTCTAAATAAAAATTCTTTTTGATCAGAATTTATTACCCTCTTCACATAAATCTGATGCTTATGTATATTAATAGTTGACTAAATTTGTAGAGACTAGTGACCTAAATTGGTATTTATTCAGATAAGACATAAAATAGTCCTAGTTCTAAGTTAATATTAAGTGGAATCTATTCACCATTTCATACTCTGAGTTACTGGTGATCAGTGGAACCACATCACAACCAGAAAGAATATGAGTTTCATTTTCATTGTGTCTGCATGATGCCAGACTCTTCAGATGACAAGAGAAAAATGCAGTCCTTCATTCACTCATTTTACCAATAGAATTCCAAACATCTGCAGATACTCAGACACTGTTTGGGTCCAGCCTAGAGTGTTGGGCTTCTGTCCTACCACACCAGCAACGCTGTCTGAATGTTGAGTATTTGGGCCATCAGAAAAACACTCATTGCAAGGTGCTACATGAAGCATCTGTTTCTTGCAAGGCCCAGGCCCAGGCTTTTTATGTGTTTGAAAACAGATCAAAGCACTACCCTACAGGTAAAACCTTAAGTGTGCAATCACTAGTAAATCACCAGTAATGCTTCTGAATACCGAAATAGCTTTTCCAAACAACATTCCCAGGGAAAGGAACAGCAGCTAAAAGTTGTGAGAAGTAAACACTGTCAAGTACTGGCATTTGCCGAATATCTACAGAGACTTTGCAAATAGTTTCAGGTGGCTACTAATATTTTATAGGTAGAATGCACAAAGTACTTTATATGAATAATAGGAAGGTCATTAATGGCGCATACTTGAGAGTTTTATCAACTTATATCACGGAGTTTTTATGAGGACAAATTATTAATTTATGCAAATGCACTGTGAAAACTACAGGTTTAATTTATGTCACAGTCATGCTCATTTATGGGCTCTCCACCTAAGTGAACTTCTTGAATCATTAACACTTAACTCCTTCAAGAACTGAACTATTTCTTCATTTAAATTGTTGTATGAAATGTTTCACATTTCTCTGCTTTCTTAAATACAGTATACTGAATTTAATTTAGCCCTTCCTGAATGATTCAGGGGCACAATTAAGTACATTAGCTCTGCTAAAATGGGTAGTTATTTAGCCTCCCCACCCTGACTCCTGTTGTCAGGCTTTTATAATGCTTTTCAATTTGCTGGGGTCAAAGAAATCAGGTTACCAAAGTTACTGGAAATTAGTCAGTAAGCTCTGAGTCCCCTGCTGAGAGTTCTCCTAGAGTAAATACATGGCCTAGTCACTGGATGAAGCTTCTCCCTATCTCCTTCCTCCCTCCCCCTCCCCCATCACATCCATGTTCTGCACAGTTCCAAATGACTGAGCTTGCTAGAAGCCTGACCTCTAATTAAGCCAACTCTTAACTAAGTACACTAATGAATGGAAGCTGTTGTATAAAGAATTTTTAAAAAACAGATGAAAATCTTTGAATGGCTTTTACTTGGCTTTGGAATGCATTATACAATGGTTTTGGTAGTATACTTAACTCTTACTTTTAATTATCTTTTATTTATTATTTAATACTGATTATTGACTTTACTTCCACTTATCTTTTACTAATAGAAAATTTTGGTCTAAATGATTAGAAAAACCAGAGGAAAGCCTCCTGTACATTGAGTAGATCATTTGTGGAGGATTTATGATAAGACATGGACACTTAAAAAAATAATCTCATGAACTCATTACTTTCTTTAAAAAGGAAAAAAGGAAAAGAATTGCAATATTTATACAGGATAGGGAGGTTCAGAAGAGTTGTGATGCATTAAAAGTAACACTAAGGCACAGACTAACAGCTGGTGTAGAGAGAAAGAAAGCAGGTCAAAGATGTACTGAGCTGGGGGGATGGCACCTACCATGAAGAGCTTCCTGCCAAGCTGTCCTTCATTTCCTGTTTTAGAGGCTTCCTTTAAAAATGTAAAACTAGAAAATCATCTTCATCTGTACTAAGAGGTAAGTTACCTTGAACAGGAAGTTCAATAATAAACTTGGTATCTGTGATTTCTAAATGGTGTGTAAACAGAACAAAGTGCAACTCCTAATTCCAGTTTAGAAGGGCTTTTAATTTTGAATTACAATCTTACTGTACAAAAGAGTGACCTTGCTCTTAGAATACAAAGGCTTGAATTCATATGACACCATTTCCGCAAGTATAAAGACAAAATCTAAACTCACCTTGTCTTCATACATCCTTTTGGCTTCTCTTAATTCAGAACGCAGCTGAGAAACAGTAGATTCCAGTTCACTGAGCTGACGCATATACATTGAATTTTGATTCCTTGCTTGTTCTCTAAGAAGGGTTTAGAAAAATAAAAAGCAAACCACCACCTAAGAATAACAAATATGACACCTTAAGGCGACCACAGCCATTAAAAACTAGACCTCTTAGCCTGACATAATTAGCCCCAAGATGAGTGCTAAGAATTTTAGTTCAAATTATAAATAATTTATAATAAATATAAATATTCATAATAATAAACAATATAATAAATAAATGTCTTGATTTTTATTCTATAGCTTGGAATATAAATCTTCCTTATGCTTTTTTATTTAAAGAGGTTCAAGAGCTAATAAGAATCTGATCAGATCAAAAAACTACATATGTAATTATATCTAGCTATAAAAGTTTATTTTCTATTTTTAAAAAGTAAAAAAATTTTATGGCATTGTTGGACCCTTAAGAAAGGGTGAGCCAACATGAATGGAAATCTCAAGAAAGAAGCTAACTGCATCCTCAGATCAAGCAATTAGGACACATACTGAATGATTTCCAGCTGGCTCTGAATGCTATTTGCTTGGCTCCGGGCACTACTAGCTTTCTCACTCAGTCCCGTTACTTCAAGTTCATGTTCATTCATTAATTGCTCAATCCTATAAAGAGAAAGAAATGATCAGAGTTAGGATGTAGAAAATTTCATCTAATCATAAACTGTTCCAAAAATAGATAAAATTTAACTTGTAAATGTTATAAATTATAGGGTTGGAAGGGACCATTCATGAAAGAAATCTCCACTAAAAAAATACCTGACAAGTCCTCACCCCTGCCACGGCTTCCAGACCCTCCCACATTCCACCTTGGAGCAGCTCACACTGGGAGCTCCAACCCCCTTCTGGCCCTAAGGCACCTCTTGGCTTATGAGAAATGACAAGACTCACTGGCCATCACCCAGTCAGGTCCCCAGCCAAGCCCCTGCCCTCTCCAGTCTATCCTCCACAAGGGATCAAAGTGGTATTGCTAGAGCACAGCTCTGACCATGTCACTCCCCACGGTTCCCTATTGCCTGCAGGACAAAACACAAACCTGTTTCTTTGGCATTTAAAGGCCCTCACAAGATGGTACCAGCCTATCTTTCCAGAATGATTATACCCTACATACCCTGTCTTGCACCAAATTGTCCTGCACACATAACCCTTCCTCTCCCCTTTCTGAGCCGTTGCCCAGGCTGTCTCCCACACCTGGCATGCCGTCTGTCCTCCCCTCTCCCTCATGGAATCCTTGGCTTCCTTCAAAGCTCAGCTCAATGGCTCCCTCCTGGTAGCCCTCACCTTCCACTGCTCCCCACACACACACACACACACACACACCCTCCCAACCTACGTTACTTTTACTGTTTTGCCTGAGGACATGTTTTTGTCTTCACTTGCATGCATACATCTGGTTTTCCCTGAGAGCAGTCCCATGAAAGCAGAGACTCTCTTTTGTCTCTGTACCCTCAGTACACACAGACGTGACCCATCGTGAGCATTTAGTAAAGGCTTACTGGCTGACTGACTCAGCAGCTGAGTTTTTTGTTGAGGTTTAGTTGGGGTTTTTTTTGGCTAATTTTTCCAGAAACATGGAGATTTTAATATAATGATAATGATGATAATCATGATGATGATAAACAACCAGCATGTAATCAGTGCTTTAAGGTTAGTAAAGTGCTTTACAAATATTAAGTCATTCAACCCTCACAACAACCCTGAAAGGTAGGTGTTATAATTATCCCTATTTTACAGATGAGCAAACTGAGACAGAGGTGAAGTGATTTGTGTAGGGTCACACAGCTACAAAGTATATTTAATAGCCAGACTGGAACTCCAGGCACAGCCCACTGTCCACTGCCCCCTCTCCCTACCTCCCACCCCCAGTGGCCTTAGACTTACCTATCCTGATGCTGCTGAAGAAGCAGTTCTATTTTGTTCTGTGATTCAGTTTTCAGTGATTCAAGTTGATCTTCTACCTGTTTTGTGGTTTTTTTTAAAGATTGGGATGAGTGAATGAGAAGCATGTCTGAGCCTTCAATCAGGTGATACTCAAGTTCTCAATCCAACTGAAAACCACAGAGCAGAATTCTAGGACTCTGCTCTGCCGGCTTTCTGACCTTCTCTGCACCCCTTAAAGCCAATGCCAGTCAGGGACCCCAGGGAGGGCAGTAACCCTAGAAGGAAGCCACCAGGGCCACAGTAAGATGGGCGATTACCCCATCATTAATATGTGCGAAAAACAACCCTCCCAGAAGTGATGTTATTTCAGTGAATCTTAATATACTGCATACAGAAGCATCTAAAACTAGCTGGTGAAACAAAGCAAAACAAAATCATGCTCTCACCACTTACTGGAAAAATTCTCCCTTTAAGGTAAGACACCTCCGTGTCCAGTTCTCTCAGCAGCTTACTGACAGCTGTGCCCAGGTTACGGATGTGGACAGCAGAGATGGTCTCGTGCTCATAGATTCTCTTGCCTGTGGTCTCTTCATAGTCCACCAGAATGGCCCGGATTTCCTGGAGCACTCCTTCATGACTGAGCATCACCTTTCTGAGCTGCTCCGTCTGACTACTGTTCTCCCGCAGAACCTCTTCCTGAAGGCGTTTGGCAGTTTCAAGTTCAAGTTCATGAACTGTATTTTGCAGTTGATTTCTTAGATCCTCCTGAGAAAGAGTCTCCCTTCGTCTATGAAACAAAAGAGGAAAACAAAAAATACTTAAACTCATATTCAAAGTTGGCTTTATCTTGGCAATATGTAATTTTAAAAAATTTTGGTGAACATGGAACTAAAAATACATCTGAGTAATACTTCTCCCAAACCCCCTCCAGCAAAAAAACCTGTTAATTCTCAGCAGACTGAATAATGATCAAAAAACTCAATGGAAAATAATACCAAGTGAAATATCCTATGGTGGAACTGAACAAAAAAACAGCCCAAGTCCACAGCATGCAGGTTTGTGTCAGGAGGCAACACAGAATGGAAGGCTCCCTAGAAAGTCCTGGGGTGGTCAGAAATCTACTTGAGAGAACCCCTCTAGAAACCTCCTAAAGACCTCAGAGGGCAGCAAGGTGGCACAATGGCTGTGTGACCCTGGGCAAGGCACTTCACCCTGTTTGCCTCAGTTTCTTCCTCTGTAAAGTGAGCTGGAGAACAAAATGGCAAACTGCCCCAGTATCTTTGCCAAGATATCCCCACATGGGGTCAGGAAGAGTCAGACAGGACTGAAACAGCTGAACGACAACAACAGAGACCTTAGAAGCCCCCCCAGGAGCAGCAGCAACCGGTGAGGCACAGGCATGCTCAGACAAGGACAGCCCAAAGCACAGGGGCTCTGAGGCCTCTAGGATGCTGTCCTGAGATACTGTGGAGGTCCCTGAAGATCCAAAACTCTGAACCCCAAAGATCCATGGGAACTAAAGCAGGAAGGTAAGTGGAGGTCATCCCAGGAACTGAGGTGATCCAGAGAGGAACCAGAGAGGGTCAACCATCCCCATCCAACCATCCCGGGCAAAGCCTGACACACAGCCTCAATTCAGGAACTAAAGTTGGAGCTAGGAACAAACCAAAGAAGACCCCAGCCAAAATACAGAATTTTACTGTAAATCTAGGGATCCCCAAAAAATCTCACCCAGAAGGAAAGTGTTAACTGTGTAATAACTGCACGCAGAGACTCTTAAGAAAACAAAAAGGATTTTCCACAATGACTGTATGAATATCCAAAAACAATGAAGCAAGGGATCTTTAAAAAATGAGATAAAAAGCCTGAAGGCAAGAATTGGAAGTAGAAGAAATAGCTTCAAACAAAAATTATTAAAGGTTATCAGCTTAAAACAATATTATTAAAATTTACCCAAGGAATGGAGTCCCTGAAAATTAGAAGAAATAGATATCCATGACTCTAAAGGACAGCAAGAGATACGAGAACAAAATTTTTAAAAATAGAAATAAGAAAATATAAGCTGTATATCAAAAACAACCAACCTGGAAAACAGGTCAAGGAGAGATAATTTAAGAATGACTGGACTCAGGGCAGCTAGGTGGCACAGTGAATAGAGCTCTGGCCTTGGAGTCAGTAGGACCTGAATTCAAATCCGGCCTCAGACACTTGACACCTACTGCTTAGTAGCTGTGCGACCCTGGGCAAGTCACTTAACCCCAATTGACTCACCAAAAAAAAGAATGATTAAACTCCCTGAAATTCGTTATTTTTTAAAAGCCTGTACATTGTATTTAAAGAAATCATAAATGAAAACTGCTCAGATACATTAAGACTAGAGAGAAAAGCAAAGATAGAAATTCATTATCACCTCCTGAAAGAATCCCCAAAAGGAAAAGTCCCAGGAATGCCATAGCCAAAATCCAGAGCTTCTACATCAAAGGAAAAATACTGCAAGCATCCTAAAATACAAAGGAAGCATAGTCAGGATTACATTAGCCCAGGCAGCTTCTTCTATAAACAAGAGAAGATCTTGGAGTACAATACTCCCAAAGGATGGAATAGATCATTTCTGACAAAAAGCAGGAACTTTGAAACACAAGATTCAAGAGAAATCAAGAAAGGTAAATGTATTTAAGCAACTGAAAGGAGCTAGATGACGATGTGTTGCTGACATTTTAATGGGGGGGAAAAAGCAAGTGTCCCTTCAGAAGCTCAATATCTTCAAAGGGTGCTAAGGGAATTGGTTGGTTGGCTGGTTTTGGTTTTTGGTGGACCTAGGGGAAAGTTGGTTCTGTGCCAAGGGTTTTGAGAGGAAAGGGACGGGCAAGAAATATACTAGTCCTCAAAGAGACTGCATGAGTCTATTCAAACATGAAGGAAGGGATGGGAGGTGGGTATAACATGGACATCGCTCCTATATGAATCAATCAAGGTTGAACACACATTTGCAAACAATCAATCTGAGGTAGAAATATTTTCAGTTCAACAGGGAAATAAGTGGGAATTAAGGAGGTGGTTAAGAGGGTGATAATACTGGGGAACGAAGAACTCCCCAAAGCAAAACAAACATCCTGATCCTGAAGAGGGAGTTAAAAGAGGGGGAGGGAAAGCAAAATATTGGACTCTAAAGGGGTGCCCATCAATTGAGGAATAGCTAAACAAACTGCAGTATATTAATGTAATGGAATAAGAAATGATGCAAGAGATTATTTCAGAGAATCCTAGAGTATGAATGGATGCAGAGTGAAGTGACTGGAACCAAGAGAAGAATATATACAATGTCAACATCGTAAAGAAAGACAACTCTGAAAGACTTAAAAATTAGAATTCTGGTCTCTAGAGATCTACGATGAAGCATGTTACCCAACTCCTAAGAAGAAAGTGATGACTCAGGGTGCAGAAAGAGACAAGACATTTTTGGACATGAACACAGTGTGGATTAATTTTGCTTAACTATATTTATTTTTAACAAGTTTTTTTTTCCTTATCTCAGCTTTTAATGGGATTAAAGTGAGGATTGGTTATAGTGATGCCATAAAAAGTGGGTCAAAGAGAACTCCTGGATCAATTTGGAACTATGCCCAAAGGGCTACAAAAATGTGCATACCCTTTGATTCAGCAATAGCACTTCTAGGGCTATATCCCAAAGAGAGCAAACAAATGGCAAAAGGACCCACATGTACAAAAATATTCATAGCAGCTCTTTTTATGGTGGCAAAGAATTGGAAATTGAGAGGATGCCCATCAATTGGGGAACGGCTGAGCAAGTTGTGGTATATGAATGTAATGGAATGCTATTGTGCTATAAGAAATGATGAACAGGCTGACTTCAGAAAAACCTGGAAAGACTTATATGGTCTGATGCTGAGTAAAGTGAGCAGAACCAAGAGGGCTTTGTACACAATAACAGCCACATTATGCAATGACTAAGATTGTTAAACTGAACCCTTCTCAGCATTACGAGGATCTAAGACATCTCCAGAGGCCTCGGGATGGAAAATGCTGTCCACATCCAAAGAAAGAACTATGAAAATCGAATCGCTTCTTTTTTTTATTTTTACCTTCTATTGAGTTTTGTTTCATCTTTCTGATGGTTCCTCCTAGTGGTTTTAATTTTTACTTACAACTTCACTAATGTGAAAATATGTTTAATGGGTATGTAAATGTAAAGCCCATATCAGATTGTGTGCCATCTTGGGGAAGGTGGGGGGGAGGAAGGGGGAGAAAAATTTTCAACTCAAAAGCATATGGAAGTGATTGCTGATAAATCAAAATAAATTAATTTTTAAAAAAAGACTGAAAAAAAAAAAGAGAGAAGTCCTGGGTCACAAGATGGCAGACTAGACATTTTCTCTGATCCACGCAACCTCTCAAATCTCTCCAAAACAGAAATTATGCACCAAAGATAAAAACAACTTCAGATATCTCCATCGTCTAGGTCCTAGATTCTAGGACACGGAGAATCAAAATGAAAGTTTAAAAAATCTCCCCAAACCCATAAACTGATGCGCACTGATACTGAGCTCACTCAGCACACCCACCTGTAGGGGAAGGAAGGGGAGAGAAAGGAAACCTCACTTTGTAGGCTGGAAGGTGTTCCACTGATGAATGTTCCTATGGACACAGGGAGATTTCCAGTAAATGCTGAAAAAAGGCTCGACAAGAGAGAGTACAGATCAGTAGTGGGGCTGCATAATCAGTGATGTGGTAGAGGAGAGAACACACCATGGGGAAATGTCCTCTCTGATACCTGCAATTGGCACTAGAAGTGCCAATTCTGAAAGTGAAGCGCAATGGAAAAGGGGAATTCATGGGACAAGTCGTCCATGGCAGTGGTAGGAAGTGCCTGGGGGACGGCCTAGAATGAAACCTTGGGAGCTCTGATCAAATGAGGAATGCAGAGAAAAGAGACCAGATAATTATTGGGGTCACAAATCAGAGAGTGAGGGCCTAGAGTAAACAGAAAAAGAAGACGGATAAAGAAGAGAGTGAGAGAAACCTTTTTAGAAAGGGGCATAGGAAAATTCAATTTTTGAAACTAATGAACAGAAAAAGCTGAAGGTGAAGAGAGGAAGGGGTAATCTACATGACTGAGAGGAAAAAAGAAGGGGAAAAAACATATGACCAGATAAAAGAGAAAAAGGAACTAATAAGCCAAACCCTAAAGGGAAAGATGGATCAAACGAGTAGAGGGGATCAGAAGTAAGGGGGAAGAGAGTCAGTGGGAACAGGACTGCCTTAAAGACCAAGTAAGGTAAAGCAAGTGAAGGAACAGAACACTTTGCAGGAGAAGAGGGAACCTGAAACTGAAAAGCATCTGCACAGACAACATTAACGCATCTAGTATAAGCAGCAAAGTGGCCAAAGGGGGAAAAAATCTTTGTATTAAATTTCTCTGACAAGGGTTTACCATCCAAGATATAGAAACAATTAATAAATATATGAGACTAATAACCATCCCTCAACAGATAAATGAACAAAAGGATATGAACAATTCTCAAAAGAAGAATTGCAAAATATTCACAATATAATGCTTCAAACCACTAATCACAGAAATGCAAATCAAAACGACTCTAAATGGCAACATTCAGTGTCGGAGGGGTTTGGGAAGATAGGCACACTAATACACTCTTGGTGGAGCTGTGAAATGGCAGAATCATTTTGGAGAGCAATTTGGAATGAAGCAAATTAAGTGACTGAAATGTCCACACTCTTTGACCAAGAGACTTCACTACTGGGCTTATATCCCAAGGAAGCCATCAATAAGAAGACCCTATATACTCCAAAGCATTTCTAACAGTACTTTTTGTGACAGCAAAGAACTGGAGACAAAGCAGATGCCTATCAATTAGAGAATGGCTGAACTGAGGTACATAAATGTACTGGAATACTGATGCGCTGTAAGAAATGATGCCTGTAAGGAATACAGAGAAGCCTGGAAAGATCCATATGAACCAACGCAGAGCCAAGCTGAACCAAGACAACAACACAGCCAGTAACTACAACAATGTAAATGGAGAGGACAATGACCCATTAAAAAATCAAGAGCAAACGCAACAAAATTACAAAGAAAAAGAGGATTTGAATGAAGAGATATGAGAAGACAGCCTCACGCAGCCTTTCACAGTCCAGAGGTACTACACGTTGCATATTTTTTCAGACTTTTTCAATTGTTTTTCTCTCCAAAAATACTGTCATATGAGATGGGTTTTTGGGGGGGAGGGGCAAGGGAAGATACATGGGATACTATGCTGATGCGAGAAACAAAAAATATCAAAAACTTGTTTAAAAAGAGGCTTGTTTTTCAAAATGCAGAGAACTTTAGTTTGGAAGGAAGAACAGACAAGCAAGACAGTTTGGAAAACAATGTATGGAATTTATCATATCCTTTTTTTAAAAAAGTAAACTATGCAATGGAGATTCAGTTTCATTTACATTCCTATTTTTGCATTCTGAGATATATGTCATATATACATATATACATATATGGAAATGTTTGAGGGTTTTGGCACTTATGATTAGAATAAAAAATTAAAAACAAAAAGATAAATGGACCTAACCCCCCCTCCACCAACAGTGCCAACCATTAACTGCTACTGAGAGGCAAGTAAACCCAAGAACCCTGGGAAGAGCAGCACCCTCCAGGTTCCCAGCACTGCTTCCACCGCCCAGCCCCTACAGACATATTCCAGGGAAGCAAATGTTGTGAAGAAGCAAGCCAGGAATGGCCTCTACAGGGGCTGCAGCCCCTATGGCTACTGAAGATCCAGAAAAGAAAGTTCTCGGCATCGTCAAGTGGGCCAATGTTAAAACAATGGTGTTAGTGATGGAAATGACAAAGAAGATGCAGTGCCATGGTATCCTAAAGGCATCCCCCATTAGAATGTGAGCTCCTTGGGTGTGGGGGCCGTCTCTGACTTTTTAAATTGCAGAGCCAGGGGCAGCTAAGTGGTGCAGTGGTTAAAGGCCTGGACTAGGAGTCAGGAGGACCTGAGTTCAAATCCAGCCTCAGACACATAACACTCATTAGTTGTGTGACTCTGGGCAAGTCACTTAACCCCAATTTCCTCACTTAAAAAAAAAAATGAAAGGGATGAATTCACCGCCAATGAAGTGGAAATTAAGACAATTGTTTGGACTTATTTTGGGGCAGCTAGGTGGCGCAGTGGATAGAGCACCGGCCCTGGAGTCCGGAGGATCTGGGTTCAAATCTGGCCTCAGACACATAACACTCACTAGCTGTACAACTCTGGGCAAGTCACTTAACCCCAACTGCCTCACATTAAAAAAAAAAAAAGATTAGGTTCCATCTAAGGTGTGTTTTCTTTGGCTGATGTAACAGGAAAGGCAAAACACGCCAACCAGTACCTTCAATTTATGGTACAAGCTTTTTTCACAGTGCTCCAGTCTTGTACAAGGCATTTATTTAACTCCTATGGTCCTCAGCTTCCTCCTCTATAAACTGAAGATTTAGTCTAGAGGACTTTCTGATTCAGCGAAAAAAAGTACTGGGTGAGAGGATGCTGACACCCTGGATCCAAGCCCCAGCTCTGCGCCTTGGTCTTAGGGCAGCCTTGGCTAAGTCACTTGACCTCTGACCTCTGACTGGCCTCAGTTTTCTCGTCTGTAAAATGAAGAGGCCAGTCATCTGTAAATCTATTAGGCTAACTTTCAAGGGGGTTCCTGCTCTACATTATTCCCTAACTTATCCCATAAACACCTTCTCACAAAGATGGGAAGAGGGATGTGCTCAATCCACCAGAGTCCTGGATTAGGAAATCCAGATTCCAGACTCACATGGCATCTGGCTCATCCCACTCATCAAATGGTTATCTAATTGGCAAGAGTAGAGGCATAAATGCCTTCACATGTGGGCAAGGGAGGCAATGCTGATGCTAATATTAAATGGCCAACTGGATGCCTGTCTGTCAACAAGAACAGACCATGGAGAATATAGTAAACAACTACTACAAAAGTGAAAGGGTTGACTGTTTTGATGATTTAGACAAAATATCAACTTAGCACCTAGACAGCAACCTTTCATCGGCAGAGTGATGTTTTACTCACCACAGGACCAGAGGATCTATTGTTAGAATGGACCACAGAAATCTCCTCCTCCAGCCTCCTGGGGGCACAAGGTGGCAAGCACTGGACTCAGAAGTCACAAGCTCAAACCTGGCTTCAGACACTTCCCAGCTGTGTGACCCTGAGTGAGTTCCCGCCTCTCTCGCAGCCTCCCCGTCTTCATATGGGGCAGGGTTGTAGTGAGGAGGATCAAGGGAGCTAATCGATACAAAGCATTCGAAATTTTCACAGCACTCTATGGATGCTAGCAATTACAGATGAGGTAGCTTCCTCAATGTAACTAGGGAGCTATGCCTCCATGCCTAATGTTTGTGGTCTTAAGAGTATGAAATGCCTCTCTGCCTCCACGTTAAGGGCAGTAGTGGTTACCCAAGTGGGACTCTAATCCGGCCTCGAAGGGGAGCAGCTCTTTCTTTTGGCTTCTGTCTGCCCCTGTCAGCGCTCATGCCCACGCCCTTGCCACCGTTAGCAGATGGGCTGGCCAGTCGGGGTGTGAACCAGTTCGGGAAGAAATATATCCAGCAGACCAAGCCTCTCACCCTGGAGTGCACCATCAACCTGCACCCACTTACAAATGACACCTTTAGTATAAAGAGCCCCTTTATAAAAAGGACAGCTCTGCTGCATCTCGATTTCAGTGGATGACGGAAGAATTTGACAAGATTGGAATGAGGCAGATTATAGAGGATATTCTGATTGTGCATGAGCACCGGTCACCCCATGTATTACTCCTGCAACTGGGCACACCTTTTTTCAAACACCACTAAGTGGTGAACTTAATCTAGGAGAAGATGAAGTAGAAGTACTCAAAGCGTTTACTGACAGAGATACTGGGACATCAAGATGGAGTCCTGCAAGATTGGGTCATTGATGACTGCATTGGTAACTGGTGGAGACCAAATTTTGAACTCTCACAGTACCCATATGTTCCAGCACATATTACAAAGCCTAAAGAGCACAAACAACTATTTGGTTCAGCTTCAAGAAAAAGCCTTGTTTTCCCCCCAAATCACAAACTGGTAGCTGCGCCATTGTTTGAATTATATGACAATGTACCAGGATATCATTTCCAGCCTTCCTCTGCTTTTGAGCAGGTTGAATTCTATTTACAGCTGAATTCCTGAGTCGTGGAAGAGTAAAAAAAGCCATCTCTGCGAGCACAGCTGCACAATGTAAAAAATAACCAGAATGTTCCCCTCCCCCTTATTTCTCCCCACATTGCCTCATAACTTTAAAGCAAATCTGAACTGTGCTAGACAGTGGGGTAAACAAATGTGATGATGCGTATTTCACTTTTGGTTCTACCCATACTTTTTGTACAACATTGAACAAAGTGGACCTGTTTCTATTTGCATTTTTACTTTACATTAAATCTTTCTTTAAATCCTTAAAAAAATGAGTATGAAACACTAGCCACAGCTCGCTGGGGCCCAAACACCGACCTGATGTCCACCAGAGCATCCCTCTCCATCTGCATCTCTTGAAGCTTGGTCTGCAAGTCGATGACTGACTGCCTCAGGTGGAATTTCTGTTTTTCATGCAGCTCAGCACTCTGAAAGGTTCCAAGGACAGGCCACACATACCGTTATTCTACACCAATTTTCATTGCTCTTGCTGCAGAAATGAACATTCCTACACGGTAATGTCTCGTGGCCGGAAGCCATGCCACATTTGAGGCATCACCAGTTATTTGGCCTGCAGCTGTCTGGGGGGACAGGCGGCACAGGGTGGGTCTGAACGGCACCATTTCATGATAATGTTGTAGCTCCACTGAGCCCAAACTCCACCACACAGCACAGATGGACATGGTCTCTGCACTTTATGTTCTGCTGTGACGCCATCTGGAAAACCCACCCCTGACCACACAGCTCCTGGGCAGCTGCCCCGTTGGGTCTTCACAGACCAACTAACAACTAGGTTTTTCACATATCTCCAACTGTCCTGGCCTTTTTTTCTTTATCACGAGGGAATCTGGAGGGGAATTTAATATTCTTAAACGAAAACTCACCGGCCACTGTAACATAAGCAATAATGACCATGTTAAGTTTTAGTGCATGACTTGAATTAATTTCTAGTTTATTCTCATCAGAAACCCTAAGAATTTGAGAAGTGGAAAAAATGGATGACTAAGCCAGAAAGGGCAGACCACAGAAGGGTCACTTGTCCTTACAGCCAAAGCATGTGATCTTATAAGCAGGAACAATGTCAGAGGCCTCAGATCTTAAAGTTATATGCTTCAGATCCATATTCTTACTCAGAATGGTTCTGAATGCTTTTCATCAACCTAATTCTGGGCATTGGAAGATCAGGTACATGTGAAGAGCTACAGGAGGCCAGGCTGTAACTTTTTTATTCTCTCAACACTTCTTAGTACCTTTCTTTTCTCCCACACTTTCTCCTGAACATTGCTCTGGGAGGCAAAAGGAGAACTCACTTCATTCAGTCTTCTCTGTAAGTCTTTCACCTGATGTGAGTACTCTTCTAAAACCCGCTCAATGTGTTCCTTTCCCGGGTAAGGGATCAATTTTCGCTGGCTTTCGAGTTCCAGTTCGTACTTTGTGAGCAAAGGGTTCTGTGCTTGAGTCATCGGCGCAGAAGTGTTTTCATTCACTGCACCTCGAAGACAAGCTGACACTAGAAATGGACTGGTAGAACCTGGAAAACAAGAGGATAGTCACTGCACACTTGTCATCCCTCACCAGCTTTGGGCAACATCCCTGTGGAGGGGGTGCCCGGAGGCCCCTGCGAGGCTGTCTCACCCTGCAGCAGATGGACGTAAGCTCTGCTGAGGCTACACTCCCTGCTTCTGTTCTAGTGGGTCGCCAAGCCTAGCATGCCACTGTTGCTGGCACAGGGGTCTTTGGCACGCCCACGCTGACTGCCACCCAGCCCTCGTCCCTACTCCTCAGGCCCGCTCCACCCATTCCACTATACCTTTAGAAATTGCACTCTATCCCATTACATTCTAGAACGTTCTGACCAGCATTCTCTCTCACTTTAGTGAAAATCTGGCTCTTGGAGAAGGATTTCGTATACTTTACCACCTTCTCCACTGGTAATATCCTTCCCAACCCATTCAGTCATTCAACAAGCAAGCAAGTATTTATTAAATGACAACTACTTTCCAGCTGTTGTGCTAAGCCCTGGGGATACAAAGACAAAAATGAAAGTCTCTGCCCTCAGCAACCAAAAGTTCTGTTGAGAGAAATAATGCGTATGTTGATAAATAAATATAAACATATACAAAATAAATGCAAAGCTGGGAGGGAGGAGGAAGAGCACTAACCTCTGGGGTAGGAATCAGAAAACACCTCTGTGGGGCCAGGAAGGAGACCGCCTAATCTGCGCCCCACCCCCTCTGCTGATGAGAAGACTCCTCAGTGGCCTCTGTTGTGAACTATGAAATCTGCTTGCATTACCATCTCTCCACCCTTACTGCTCATATCTGCTGACTCCCAGGTCATCCTTCCAATCTTCAGATCACTTCCACATGCAGTCCGCTCTCGGGCCTTCCTCTCTACCGAAGTTCCCTGCCATGATCCTCTCGAATGCTGATGAGCGTTCCCCCCAGGCTGACCACACAGTTCATCCTTCCTCAACTCCTCTGACCTCCTTCTCCATCTTCAACCACACACTGACATGGGACTTCAGGAACTCTAGAATTAAGGCAACTCCAAGACCTAGAATTTGAAAATTCTACTCTCTTATTACAACCCCTCATCTCCCATTTTCTCTTACATAAAGCCTACTCTTCACCTTTCACAAATCCCTAATCCTCCCCAATCCATCTCCCTTTCCTTCATACATAGCTTTAGGTTAGACGGTTTAATGTTCCACTAGTTAGTATCCTAGAATCCTTTGTCCTCCAGACATGGCTTGGTCCCCGACACACATTCATGGAATAGAATTTCAGCTGGACCCTTAGAGCTGTTGGGAAACCTTGCCACTCTCTCTTTATTAGATAATTAGATATCCTCCCTCACAGCAATACTCCAAACTTTTTCTTTTCTCCTCCACAAAGAGCACGTGGCCTAGCCTACGACCTCACTGGGAATATGGAGGCTCCTGCGAGAGCCCCCAGCTTCTCATCTGGATTCCTCCGAACGTCTCAACGCTCACCACACTCTCCTCAAGTCACAAATGATTCTCTACGGCTCACTACGGCTGGTCCTTCTCCCAGGCATCTAGATCTGACTGCAGATCTTGACTGTAGTAATCTTCTTTTCCTCTCTCTCAGTCTGCTCCCTACTATTATTACATCCCTTCTCAAACTTCAAAACAAAAAACTCTTTTCTTGCATTTCGATTCCGTCCAATGACTTTGCCATCTCTTTCCTCACCCTCATGGTGAAATTTCTTGAAAAACCTATGCTGGATCTCTCTCTCTCTCTCTCTCTCTCTCTCTCTCTCTCTCTCTCTCTCTCTCTCTCTCTCTCTCTCTCTCTCTCTCTCTCTCACCCACTTTCTCCTCAATCTCCTATCATCAGGTGTCCACCCTTCACCCATCTACAGAAGCAGCTCTAAGATTACAAATGACTTCCTAATTTATAAGTCCAATGGCCTTTTCTCAATTCTTATCTTCCTTGACTTCTCTAAAGCTTTTTCATTCATTTAAAAAGCATTTATTAAGTGATTATTATATACCAGACAATGAGGTTGCAAAGACAAAAAGGAAACACTCCCTGCCTTTGGGGAACTTAGAAGTTTCCATGACTATTCTCTCTCCCTACTGCCACCACCCTCATACAGTTCCTGAACTACTTCCATAGCCTCCTAACACATCTTCCCATTTCTACCCTCTTTTCTCTCCAATCTATCCTTCACATTGTTGTTTCAGTCCTGTCCGAATCTTTGTGACCCCATTTGAGGTTTTTCTTGGCAAAGATACTGGAGTGGTTTGCCATTTTCTTTTACAGCTCATTTTACAGATGAAGAAACTGAGGCAAACCGTGTTAAATGACTTCCCCAGGAATATATACCTAGTGTCGAAGGCCAGATTCGAACTAAGGAAGATCAATCTTCCTGACTGCAGGCCTGGCACTCTGTGTACTATGGCGCCTCCTAGCTGCCCTCTATCCTTCATACCACTGCTATAATGATCTCTTTTACTTAGAGGCCTGATCATTTTACTCCTCTGCTTAAAAATGTTCAATACCTTCTGAGAAAAGTTCGGCCTGGCATTCAAGGGTCTCTACGATCTGGTTCATATTAGTGTTTTAGCTTCACTGCTATTTATCTCATGCTATTCTCCTCCTCTGGGCACTCCAAACAAACACCTTTACCCCCGAAATGCCTCCCGTGCTCTCATGTAACTAACTGTGTCTTTATATAGCCTCCTTCCTTTACCTAGAAGGCCTTCTCTCCTTCCTCCCTTTTGTTGAGATCCTACATGTCCTTTAAAATTCAGTTCAAATGCTCCGTTTTCCAAGAGCCTTCTCTAGCTGCCACCCACCCTGGACTCTCCTTACCCATGAGCAACAACCTCTCCTCCTCCCTGCCCCCCAGTTTCTCATATCATTCCACTTTGTTACTGCCCTATTGAACAGGTAACATGGTGCATCACAGCCGCCTGCGGCAGAGCATCTGGTCACCCTTCCCAATGGCTCAGTGACTCTGACCCAAGAGTGATCTGCCACTAGTCATGGCACGGAGTGTGGAGATCATGTTACCATTAGCTGGCCTCTGTGCTTTCCAATAAAGGTATCACGACTGGCAAGATGGTTGGGTAGTTGTTTCAATGACCTCTAAACAATAAGGCATATGCCAAATCATAATAAGTAAAACGTTGATAACGAGAAGAAACACCTCCACATTTGTCCAGCCATGGAGGAAAGAGAGAAGACTCAGGAATTCTGAGTAAATGAGAACAAAGGGGCTTTAGCATCCAAAGGAAATGGTCTATAACCAGCTGTGGTCACTCCTACTGCTAGATTAAGGTGGGTCCTCGCACACCCCAACTTGGAGAAGCTGAACTTCCCCAGCCTCAGTGGTCTACACAGGAGAAAACAGGCCCAAGCAGTGAAAGGGGAGGAGCCAAAGGGTTGAGAAGCCTGATACAAACAAACAAAACAGAAAAACAGCTGAAAGGAAAATGTTAAGAGAAAAAGCTACATATAAATGCAGCGCCTAAGCAGATGACCCAATAGTGAACTCTTAAAGAAAAAAGGAAAAGTGAGTAAATATTCCAGAAAAGTCCTTAGCACAATGAGTTTAATGGAAATCAAACAAAAACTGCCAAAATAAAAGAAAACAAGGCAATAAATACTGCAAACTTCCTGGACATAACAGAACAACAGCAAGAAATTTCAGAATTGTTAGAAAGACAAATAACACTTTTTCAATTTTTTTTGGTTAAATTTTGACATTTGAGTTGTTTCCCTCCTTCCCTCCCAAGTCTGCATGAGAGGCAGCCAACATGTGATAGAGATAAACATGGGGAGCGACATACTACACGCTTCCAAATGCCAGCACTTTCTCTGGAGGCAGACAGCATTTTTCTTCATAAGTCCTTCAGCTGACTTGAGTGACACTGCTCAGAACAGCTTAGTCATTCACAATTGCTATTACTGTATACAATGTTCTCTTGCTTCTGCTCATTTCATTCTGCATTATTTCATGAAAGTCTTTCCATGTTTTTCTAAAACCAACCTGCCCATTATTTCTTCCCTAATTGATGGGCATCCCCTCAATTTCCAGTTCTTTGCCACTACAAAGAAAGCTGCTATCAATATTTTAGAGCATATAGGCTTTTTTCTTCTTCCTTGCTCACCTTGGAAAACAGATCTAACAGTGGTATTACTGGGTCAAAGGGTACACACAGTTTTACAGCGCTTTGGGAATAATTCCAAATTTCTCTCTACGAGAAATAACACTTTTAAATGAAGAAATCAAAATTAGGTCAATCAGAAATCTGAAAGAAAAAGCAATGCAAATGAAAGAGTAAATAATTTAAGAGTACACAATGGAAAAGAACACCAAAATACAAAAGCTTCTGGAAAAAACAAAGAACAGATTTAAGAATCAAAAATACCAAAATGCAAGAAAATTTGGCTGAACAGGAACATATGCAATTCCAAAAGAGCATATAAACTGAATACAAGCAAAGGAAGACAGGACATTCAGAGAGCATGGAAAGAACTTAGGTCTCTCAGAAAATCACTGTAAATTTTAAATGCCTTAAAACCAAACTGCAGGAAATCATACAAGCAAATTGCCTATTAGTTTAGATAGCAGATAGCTAATACTGATTGACAGAATCCACAAATTACCAACACAAAAAAGTTAAAAATCCAAGGTTAAATGTAATTAAAGTCCAGAATTTCCATACCAAACAACAAATTTTGCAAACAGGAAGGCAAATCAATTAGAATACTTCAAACCTATGAGAAAGCAAAGAAAAGATTGGGAAATGATACAGGAAAAAAATTGGAAAGGAGTGCACCACAAAATAACAGCCTGCAAAACTGAGCCTAAGTACATCAATGAAGAAAGACGGATTTCAACAAGAGAACCATCAGGAGACATTCCTCCGAAAGAAACCAGAGGTGAGTATATCATTCAACTCTCGCAATCACTGAAAACATGAGAAACACAAGAAAAGTAAGTAAACAGAACTATCAAGAATAGCCTAAGCAACATAACCGATTGTCTTATGTTCCTTAGGCAAGACAAAGCTATCAATAACATTCTTTTCTATATTAAAGGGGTTTTTTGATCAATGGTTAAAAAAAACAAGATATCACCAAGGGGGGGGGTACTTTAAAGAGTTAGGAGAAGGGAAGGAAGAATATTTCAATTAATATTCTATATACTTGCCTATTAGTAAATCCACATTTGTTAGGAAGGAGGGGGAAAGGATCATACAGAGAAATTACTTGAATCAGGACATAGGAGGGAAGCACCTAGCCTGGTATGAACAGAAAGGGGACAGTAACCTCTTTAGGCTCCAACATGCATGGAAGCCTGCTGGAGACTGGAATAAGTAGAGGGCAGGAATAAGACTGAGAGTTGTGGGGAGTGAGGCTCACCCTAAAAGGGAAAACAATAGGGGTTCCATTGAAGCATATCCTCAAGATCTGGCAGGATGAAGGTGAGAGGCCTCTCATAACATCTTCCATTTGAGGGCTGAGCACCTTAAATGACCATCTTCTCCAAGCAATGGTCATGCTTCCTACCACTGAATTCTAGCCCTAAGAAGAGGAAAAATATGGGAGCCCTACAGGGTTCCCAACATCCTGGGTGGAAGGGGGCACATAGATCCAGAAGCAGTATATACTGGCCTGTTGATGGTAAAGACTGAGGGTAGGGCTGTGCCTCATGACTCAGGATACAGAGAGACTCCCACCACGCCACACTTTCTCCTTCATGAGCTGGAGTTTCTAGGAGTAAGGCACAACGAAAGGCCACACAAAAACAAGAAAGGGAAAAGGAGGATAAGGTTAATTGTCTATGCACCCACTAACTCGGGAATGGGCTAGAACAAGGAGCTCAACTTTTGCCTTTCAAGCCCTGCCTTTCATGAGGGACAGAGAGAAGGAAGGGACATGTAAACATATAGCCCATGAATAGGAAAACAGAATTCAGAATAGATGAGATGAGGAAAGAAGTAGAAGAGGACAAAGTAAATAAATATTTATTGGGAAAAGGTATCACAAATGGATGTTACTCAGGTTAAGAGGCTGGACAAGGGCATGGATTGGGATTAAGGATTGTTACACTCTTATCTGGGTAGGGAGAGAGAAAACCCCAGGATCAAAGGGAAAATAACGAGAAATTCTTCATCTATAAAGTGAAGAGGTGGACCCAAAGGTCTCTTAAGGTCCCATCCAATTCTAAATCTATGACACTATCCTACAACTTAAATATAATGAACTTGGGAAACGGCAGATAAATGGGAGGGGAAGATGCTATTTAAAAACTACAATCAGATTTGTGTATGCAAAACTAATTGGAGGGATTTTACAAAAGAAATAAACGGAGCAGAATGCAAAACTAACAACCATAACCTTAAATACCAATGAATTACAGTCATTTAAACATTAAAACAAAAGAGAATTCTTAAGAATCAGTAAGAAATCAGTACTTTCCGGTATAGTGGTAGTGAGGTAATGATAGAGAAGATTAGTTATTTTTCCTTTAACTTTGTAAAGTCAAGGTATATTTTCAAAATTTTTACCTCTCATTTCTTCCTTAGTCAACTTTCCACCATCTAAAGATTTTGCTCATCCAGAGCAAATATCATTAATTTCTTTGCAGCCTTAACTCCTTCACTGCCATTGTAACCATCCCAGTTTTCTTAATCTTGCCTTTAGTTTAGAAGGAATTTAAAGGAGCTCTTTTTAAACCTTCCCTCTTTTCCCAGGCATTCTCCTTTCTCTAGGTTTTCAGGACACTGCTCTTTCCCAGTTCTCCTCCTTACTATATAACTGCCCCTTGATCTTCCTCTGCTGAATTTTCACCATCACACCCACCAATTGTGAGGGTTCCCCAGAGGTCTGTCCTGGGCCCTCTTCTCTTCCCCCTCTATACTATTTCACTTGGTGATCTCAGCAAGTCTCATGGATTTAATTATTTCCGTGCCTAGGAGTCTCAAATCTACTCATCCTAACCTCTCTGCTGATCTCCAGTAGTGCATCTCCACCTGCCTTTTGGAAAATCTGAACAGGATGACCTATAGGTATTCTTAAACTCAACAAGTCTATATGGGAATTCATTTTCTTTCTCTCTAAACCTTTTCCTCTACTCCTACCTGCCCTATTATTGGCATGGGCACTGCTAGCCTCCCAAGTACCTCAGGCTTGCAGCCTGTCGTCTTCAACTCCTCACTCTCTCCCAATGCCCAGTACCCAACCTGTTATCAAGGCTTGCTGAGTTTACCTTTGTAACATCTCTCCAATATGCTCCCTTCCTCTCCTGTGACACTATCACCTTCCTGATACAGGGATGCTGTTTGCTTATTGTCTCTCCCTTTAGACTATGAGTCCCTCAAGGCTAGGGGCTGTGTTTTTTCCCTTTCTTTTTAACCCCAGTGTTTAGCACAGTGCCTGGCACATAGTAGACACTTAATAAATGTTTACTGCCTGGGTTTTGAAACATAAAAGATGAAGGAAAACAATTTAAAACTCAACAAAGGATAAGAAAAATGCTTTAAGAACTGTTATGGAATTTGAAATACAAAATGTCATTTTTTTTCTTTAGAAAACAGAATCATAATTGGACAAACTAGTCAGCACATATGTCTACACATTAACCCAGTAATATAACCACGCTATTTAACTTAAACAGCAATTGGGCTTTGACTCTTGCATCATTTTGAATATTATTTTTCAGAGTAAAGGTTACTTACTTCCGCACGATCTGACGCCGCTCAGTGAAGCATCTTCCTGGTTTGCTTCGTGCCCTTTTGCTTCCATGCTGATAAGCGCTCTTCCTGGAGGTGGAGTGTCTTTTGGGTTTGCCTTATTAGCTCTAATCTAGGAAAGCCAAGGGGATAGGCCTTTGTTCAGATTTTAAATTATTTTATTGTGCCAAATTCCATCTTTATTTAAAATATTTCTATGCTATTATTACTTAGTATTAAGACAAAAAAATTCTTTGTGTAACATGGACATTTTTCGCAGCCCTGATAATGATGGATTTACACAGTGGCTTTCCTAAAGCAACATTCAACAGGGAGCACAAGTGCTCAGTGCTCTGACTACTTACTACTAGTGACTACTAGCGACTGGCTTCACCTACTGTTCTGGGCAATGCCTTCTTCTCCTTCATAGCTCTCTATCTGTTATAAGGTCAAATTTTCAAACAATAAAAAGAAAAACTACTCAAGATCAGCAAAATAGGAATCAATAAAATACTGAAAATTTATTTAAATTAAACGAATACTCTTAAGTCAATACAGGCCAATGTGCCTAAAGAACAGATAAGCCAGGATCTAATCTAAGTACAACATTCAGGATTTTAACAATAAGTGAAGGTGAAAACAGACTGATTTTGACCTACTCTTAATTGTCAAAAGGAAGAGCTCTGGAAATTACATTATTAATTTAGGCAAAACAAGAAAAAAAACAAATATACAAACAAAAAAAATTCTGCTTTGCCTAAAATATCCCCTAACTCAACAAGTTTAGGCCTGATCAGAAATTTGGCTATTCATGCATAATCTCACACTGCACAGACAATTTAAAGCTTTACTTACTGAAGAAAAACATATATTTGCAAAAGATAGCTAGTTTGGGGACATAGGTCAGACAAGCTTTGGGCTTTGACAAAATAAGGACACACTAAAATTGTTCCTTCCAAACAGTTTAACCTTAGGGAGCTCATCTTGAACACTCAATAGTGATCTATAGCCAGTCATCAAATTTTTAGTCACAGGCCAGCTGAGAATTCAAGTACCCAAAAGATGTTACATAGGAGCTGAGATTAAATTAAAAATCAAGTTAATTGTTATTAAGGCCTCAAACCTGAAAATATTTAAAGAATGTGATTTAACTAGCCAACCTATCAACTATAAATATTGTCAGAATTTGACTTTATTTCACTCACCACTTTTCACTTTTGTCCCCTGAAGTGTAGTCTGTCAAAACTTAAATTCAACAAGTTCTACCTTAATATGTTTAGAGTTACCATTTTTGGGAAATAAACAGCAAACAGGGAGACACTTCATTAAGAATTCTAAGTGGTATGTTTGCCAACATTGCTAGGCAACATCAGTGTTCTGGAAGAAACTGTTGTGAAAAAGTTTTCAATTAAACTGAGTAACATACCGTATCACAGTATACACAATTGGCTTGAATATTTCATCACATTAGGTACTTTGAGATTCTTATGGTATAAGGGGAAAAGCAATGGATTTGGAGTCAAATCCCAGATCTGCAGCTTACTACCTGTGTGATCTCCATCAAGTTATTTAACCATTCTAGGCCTCATTTTCTTATCTGTAAGGGGAAGAAGTTGAATCGCTGAGCAGAGCCCTCCCAGCTCTAAATCTACATGCATATATGTGCACGATAACGAAGAATTATCGTAATACTATGTTCCACCATAATTAACAGGATTTGACCCAATGCAGAATGAGTAAGATAGGTAGGGCCAAAAACTGGCAACCTCTGACAAAAATAGGTACTAACCCACCTAGGTTCCTTTCTTTTAATCAGCCTTTGAGATAAAGGCATTAATTGAAACAAAAGCTGACAGTCACCTAAACACAGCTGGAACTGAGTCTGAATGAGGGTAGGAAAAATGGGGAAAGCTAAGAAGGGTAACTTCGGCCCAAGGCAAACTTGCTTTGCTATGAAACTAAGAATTCTGCAAAATTTTATTCATTCGATTCCACTGAATAGAAATTGGCAACATCAGTTCATATTTATAAGGAAATTATCACAACTACCATGAGAGGTAATTTGATTATTTTACAGATTAGAAAACTCAAGTTCTGAGGCTAAGTCACTAGCACAATGTTAGATCTGGACCTGCCTAGAACTCAGGTTAGGGAATTCCCAGTCCAGTATGAACCTGTTGCCTCTTCATTATAGCACAAGGTAGGGTGAAGAGGGGATAATTTGGAAAGAGGGCAATTACCTAAAGAAGGCGGCAGCAACATATTTAATCAAGCATTTTAGAAGGTGTCATGTATGCCAACAGTTAAGAGTGTGCCCCAAATTTACAGGAGGCTTTGCAGCTGTTATTCTGGCCACACCACCTGAGTAAATGCCTTTGAACTAATGTTGTCTTACTGGATGATTGTTAATAGAAAGCACAGCAGTGGGCGCTCATGAGATGTGCTTTTAGAAAGGTGGTGCCACAAGGCACAGCCCAGAAACCTGACAGTTTCCCTCTGGGTGAGTGTGAGAGAAGCTACTTGTGAGCCCAAAGAGGATGTTACATGTAGATAATGACTTCTATAGCCTACAATGAAAGACAAGGATTTTAAATAAGTTGCTAGGTAATTGTAGGCTATAAGATATTTGTATCCAAAAAGCTGATTAATTTGCTTATTCCAATAACAATTTATCTGATGCCTCATAATATTACAGAAGTAACCACAGGTGCTCAAAGGCCTAGAGCAGGGGCCACAGCTTCCCCACTCCTGGTATAGGCTTTGGCAGATATGATCAAACCAGTATTAGCAACAGACTCTATCTGTTCTCTGAAGATCAGACTAGTAAAGTACTGGTAGGCTCTTCATCAGTAGGCTGGTCAGTAGGTAATGAATTCTCTGATCATTGCAACCCATTAAGTACATATATAAAATCAAAGGGCCCTATACAGTTCCCTTCTGCAACAGCAGAACAGTGAGGGACATGAGGGGAGGGGGAAAAAGGACTCTAAGAATCATATAGCTTTTAGACTACCTATAAATATTGAATTGTTGGCACTCCAAATGTGAGGTTCTTGCCCAGTGATCAATACTAATGGAGAGTGTACTACTAGAGGAACTGAACTGTGTCAATATTGACATTCTTGTTACAAAATCTAAAGACAAGACTCACAGCCAAACTGAAAGAGGGCACACAGGTTCTCCTCGGAGGGGGCGAATATCAGAGCTGGTGAAATCGGTCTCACAGATCCAAAGGCAACAAGAAGCTTCATTTCATGGGATAAATAACCATACTGTAGCACACAGCTCATGAAAAGCATTTCCAAACTGCCCAACATGAAGATGAATTGTGACTTGTGTTCCAACGTCAGTGACACAGGATGAGGAGTCAGAGAAATATCACGAAAAATAGAGTATGACCCTCCAAAGGAAGGCAACATCTATGTCCTCCATGCCTGCAATGCTCTCCCACCTAAACTCCACTTCTTGTAAGCCCTTTCTCTACCCAAAGGCCAACTCAGCTGGCCCCTCTTGAATGGTTCCTCTTTCGTTATCCACCTGCACCAAAATTATACTCACTCTGTCTCTCTCTCTCTCTCTGTATGTGTGTGGAGGGGGGGCAGAGAGAGAGAATGTAGTATTTTGGTATCTATATACATGGTTAATATCCCCCCTTCCCCAGCAGAAAACAAACTCCTTGAGAACAGGACCTCTTTTGTATTTGTATCCCAAGTACCTACACAATAAATGCTTAACAATTTCCATCTACTTAAAATTATTAAAGATCTCTTAATTGCCAAATCTAAAGGACTCTTCTCAGCCTCATCCTTCTTCACCTCTCAGCAGTCTCACATTGCCAATCGCCCTCTTCTCCTCGATATTTTCTTTTTCGTGACACTCTAACCTCTATCCTCCTACCAGTCTGGCCTCTCCCGAGCCTCCTCCGTCGCTTCTTCACTCAGGTCACACTCACTAGCTGTGGAGGGATCCCACAGGGCTCTCTCCTGGGCCCTCTTCTCCCTTGATAGCATTTCACATGGTGACCTCAGCAGCTCAATTTTCATTCCTGGGTTGCTGATTCTCAAATCGACTACTCCAGCGCTCCACTCTCTCATGACCTCCAGTCTTCCATCTCCCACTGCAGTTACCTTAAGCTCAGCAGACCAGAAGTGAACTCATTATCTTCACCCCCAAACCCTCCCTCCTCTAGACTTCCCTGTTAGTGTTGAGGGCAACATGCTCCTCCCAGTCCTCGACTCCTCCTCCTCCTTTCTCACTCTCTATATCCAATCTGTTGCCAAGGCCTGAGTCGACCTTCATAACATCTTTCCCACATGCCCCCTTTTTTCTCTGCCACTGCCACCACCCTGCCCCTATCACCTCACACCTAGACCACTGTGTAATAGCCTGCTGCCTGGTCTCTCTGCCTCAAGCTTCTTCCCACTATGGTCTATCCTCCACTCAGCTGTTAAAGCAATTTTCCTAAAGTGCAGGCACACAACTGAGTAACAGATGCAGAGAATACCAGATCCCTCTGTGCTTGTTATTTAAAAACTATTTTTAAAAGTATCTAACTAGGGGCAACTAGGCGGTGCAGTGAATAGAGCTCTGGCCTTGGAGTCAGGAGGACCTGAGTTCAAATCCAGCCTCAGACACTTAACACTAACTAGCTGTGTGGCCCTGGACAAGTCACTTAACCTCAAATGCCTCACCAAAAAAAAAGTTATCTAACTTAATAAACAAAATATTACTTTAATGGATCTCCTGTAAGGTGTATGTCAAAATCATATTATCTTGAGAGAACAACTGACATAATTTTGATGACACTCTGATTAAAACAAAGACCCACACATGCATGTGCGCATGCACGTGCACATGTGCGCGCACACACGCACACACACACACACAAAAAAAACCATGCTTGTAGTTGCTATGTCAACAGAATGCAAAGAAGATCTAGAGCACAGAGCAGGCCTTGTGTGGTTAATCTTCAGGACACTCCAGATGAGATCCACATAGGATGGGCTGTGATCTGGGTCATTCAAGTGAGTACCCGCATTGATGAAATCCCAGACTCATGGGAGTAGGAAAGCCAAGGAGAACCAGAGCTGGAACACTTCAGAAGCAGATGATGCTAGAGAAGAGAAAATACTTTATCCTTAAAATAACAAATTCTACAAAATGACTTCACATTTGGTAAAAATAATTCTCACAATTATGTAACTTCAAAATTCTATAAGACAAGTATATTTAAAGTGAGAGATACTTATAACATAGTAATAATACCTTTTTAATTTTTGGAGATTATTTTCACTTATTCTAATAGCACCTGTGAAAATAAAATAAATCTTTTAGACATTTTTATCCACATTTTTACATTCTGCCATAAGCTTTACTTTGGAAATGGGTCCAATCAATACTGAAAAGACTTCATTCCAATAATGACAAAAATTTCTTACATGTTTTTGCTTCAAGATTTTCAAAGAAGTTTTCAAAATACATTTCTTTTCTCACTACAATTCCACAACAACCCTAAGCAAGTATCATCATTCCCCTGCCACAGATAAAGCAACAGAAGCCACAGGGTGGTTAAGGGACTTTTTCAAGGTGCCAGAGCAACAGTGAGATGCAGGCCCAAGCGCAGAGCCCTTAGTACTTAAGATATCTTTATGCTACTGTTATAACTTTATTATCTGATGTTTCCACCAGCATTTATCTTCTCTAAGTTGGGTGGCGAGCCCTGGGGGCAAGCACATCCCTTTCTTCAAGTACAAAGTAATGACTGGTATTCCAGGCCCCCTCATTTGTATCAGTGAACCAAGGACATTCCTCTTCCTCAGATTCATCTTAGTCTATCTAGTACATGTGTTTGACTTTTAGCTTTTCTTGTTTTCTCTGCTTAAGAGAAGGATCTTTGAGGTAGAAAGGAGAGAAAATATGACCAATAGGGAATTGAAACCTAAGGTAAGTAGGGGGATGGCTCATCACCAGACCCAGACAAACTACATCCCCAGGTAGAGAAGGAAGTGACAGGTGTGATTAAGTCACTATCAGTGATTAGGAAAAGATATTGGAAAATAGAAGAGGTGCCATATGACTGGAGGTCAAATAGCACTTTGATTACCAAAAAAGAGAAAAGAACAGAGCCTGCAAATTATTGGCCAGTGAGACTCTAGGGATGCTTGGTAAACTAATATCTATAAAAAAGAGGAGTGATCACATATCCAACTAACTTAATGTCCATGTTTGACAAGGTCAGTAGACTATGAAAGCAGGGAAATACTAAGTGTAGTTTACCTACATTTTAACAAAGTCTCTTCTGCCATTCTAGTGGAAAAGATGGACAGGTACGAGACAGACCTGTAGTCTCCAAAGCGCATGTAAAAAGATGCAGTAGGATACAAAATGAAAACATTAGAACTTTTATATTTATTTATCTATTTAGGCTAGGCAGTTGGGGTTCACAGCTAGTAAGTATCAAGTGTCTGAGGCTGAATTTGAACTCAGGTCCTCCTGACTCCAGGGCCGGTGCTCTATTCACTGTGCCACCTAGCTGCCCCTATATTTATTTTCTAAAAGAATTTTTAAAATAAAACTTTACCAATATTTAATGTATCCATATTTCGAACAGGCACGTGTCACATATGGCATCCAAGACATACTGAGGGAAGAGTTGGAATTCCACACTGAGAAGGGATTGACTCTACTTGTCCATTTACTTTCAGTATATTGTGATATATTGTAGTTTATGTACGACCAATTAAATAGATTTACAGATATTATCTACTTGTAACTAAACTAACCTTCCCACAATGGACAAATGTCTTTAACAGACTCCTGAAAAATGAAAAAGCCTTGAATTAAAGGTATTACAGTACAAGCAAACAACAAAACAGGGCAGAGCCCACACTTCCACTCCTGACACAAGCTCCTCAGCCAAATCACAAAGTAAAGACAAGGACAAGCTGATCAGATCTGAGCTGATACAAAAAATCCAAAGTGAGCAAGGAGACCTTTAAATAGGAACGTCATTATCAACAAACTGCACTCAAGCATATGTTGCGGCTTGTGATCTTAGCTGGGTCCAAAACAGCTGTCACAATGAGATATTTTAAAACTAGGGATTTTTTTTGTTGCCAAAAATGTATGCTCCTGTAAAAATTCTGATATCTGAATATTTAATATGAATTAAAAGTATTTATTAAGCACTTGTTATCATGTACTGTGCTAAGTACTAGCCACACACATATAAAAAACAAGGCAGATCCTACTCTCAAGAAGCCTGTATTCTAACGGGGAAGACACAAGTGGTGGGTGTGGTGGGCGTGGTGGGCAGGGAGGGATATTATGGTCAGGAATGCCACAGGGATGGTGATATAAGGTAACTGACTGACATGTACTTTCCAGGAATGGCAGCATGGTCCATTCCAGAGGCCCAGGAGTAGAAGGGGAAGAGAGAGGTGGTTGAAGCATAGCAGAGAGGCATAAAAATGGCCAGAGAGCAGCAACAGTGCGAGGCATCTGAGCTTGACTAGTGATGAATGATCACCGATCAGAAGCTGGAGACCCACAACAGGAGGACTAGTCTGGAGGCGGAGGATGAAGTTAGACATTAGCATGAGGATGGCCGATGTGGTAGGTTAGGGAGGCATTAGTTAAGATGATGTTGTCGTGTCCATCAGTCACGTCCAACTGTTCATGACTCCATCTGGGGTTTTCTTGGCAGAGATACTGGAGGGGTTTGCCATTTCCTTCTCCAGCTCATTTTACAGATGAGGAAACTGAAGCAAACAGGGTTAAATGACTTGCCCAGGACCATGAAGCTGTCAAGTGTATGAGGCCATTGAGGTCACATCTGAACTTGGGTCCTCCTGACTCCAGGCCCGGTGCTGCCCTTTAGTTGATGACTGATCACCAATCAGAAATCCAGGAGGCCAGAATAGGAACATCAGGTGAAGGTAGGCCTGGAATTCAAGATTATGATGTGAAGCTGGCAGGGGAGCAACTTGGAAACAGAATTTGCTAATTAAAAATCATCCAAGTGAATTTCAATGGATTAAGAATCCATTTGTCAAAAACATAACAATGTAACACAGATTCTGAGTAACTTGTAAGAACAACTTACTGATATCAGGGAAGATGGAAATGTACTAGCCAAATCTGAACAAAAACATCTGCACATTGTAAGATGGAATTGAAAAATTAATACCATGATTTAATAAATACTGCCAATGATACTTCTTCTGATGAAAGCTATATCTCAAATTTTAATTTTCTACTATGACAGCCATTAAAACCAATAATTGAAATAATGAAACTTAGAACTAGACCTCTGAACTGCTAGCTCATAGAGTGGTAAACAAAGACTTTGGAAAGTAATTAAGTATATTCAATTACATTGCTCTAAAAAATATTAGTATTTATATTTTAGGGAGAATAACAAGGGGTTTGTATCTTTCAGGGGATTTTGTATCTTTCACAAGTAATATAAAAATTATTCTTAAAATATTTCATCTTTATCATATCCTTTTAAATTCTTTTTATGTATATTCTATAATGTATATATTATAATGGACAGCAGTATAATTTGTAAATAAATAAATATACCTATAGTGGGAGCTGCAGTTCAAAATCTTCTTAGTGACAGGGGCACACACTCAAAAAATATTTTGTAACCACTGGATTAGCTGATAACAGAACAGCTTAATGGCCAGATGTAAAGGGCGTGATGGTTCATTGACAAGGTAAAAATGGTTCAATGACAAGGTAAAAGGCCACCAGTGGAGCACTCCAGGAATTTGGACTTGGACCTAGGCTAGGAAACATTTATACTGTTGTTGTTGTTCCGACCTATCCAAATCTCCCTGACTCTGTGGCCATACTGTCCATGGGGTTTTCTCAACACAGATACTAGAGTGGTTTGCCACAAACAGAGGTTAAATGACTTGCCCAGAATCACACATCCAGTGAGTGTCTGAGGCCACATTAGAACTAAGGTCTCCCTGACTCCAGGCCCAATGCTCTTAGCCTTTCTCCTATTTCTAACACAGACTTAGATAATCAAATGTGTAAATAACACCAAGATAGGAAGGATAAATTAGATTAAATACTGAACTACAGAGTCAGGATTCAAAAGATCTTACCAGATCCAATACTGGGTTTCATCTATTACTAGCTGGGTGGCTAAGGAGCTGTAGCACAGATCTTCGAGGCAGGAAGATTAGATTTCAATCTCAACTCAGACACCAACTACATGACCCTGGGCAAGCAAGGCATTAAATCCCTCTCATCCTGTTTATTTATATGTAAAATGGGGATAAAATAGCCGTAGCTTTTACTTTCTAGAACTGTGAGGGTCAAGTGAAATAATATACTGTAAAGCACTTGGTAATCCTTTAAGCACTATTCAAATATCATTTATGATGGTGAGGATGATGATAATGGGGATAAATGTGTTCAAAAAATACAACTTCCCAAGCACAAGATAGGAAGGACTACAAACTGAATGAGTTGACAATGTGATACAGCAGCCAAAACACTCAAAATGATGGGTCTTCCTGACTCCACGACCAGCACTCTATCCACTATGCCACCTAGCGGACCCTTTTAGGTACGAGGTATATGGGGTGTTCAGGGAGAACTAGCCCCTCTGGTGTGAGGGCTTGCTGAGCCTTTTTCGGGGCTGCCCATCCACTTTTGGTGTCCATCTGCCAGCCAACTCTCACCTGTGGCTCCAAGACGCTGTAGCATGAGCAGCAGTTGTACCCTGGTAAAACCATCTCAACAGATGGGCTAAACCAGCTAAGGATAATTGACAGGCCTCAAGCCCATCACTGAGTTAGGGGGATGTCTGCCTCAAGCATGTGAAGACTTCACCCAGTGGAATTCTCGTTGGATGAGAATAATTTGTTGAAATGGCCATAAAGGCAGCTAAAGCAAGTGCTGTAGAGGTCTTATAACTTGGCCAAACATCAAAAACACCAAGGTCATCCACTGCATCCTGGGCCATCGCCAGTTGTCCCGACTCTGGTCTTGCTGCTGGACTTTGATGATTCCAGAAGGGAGAGTGAGGCTGACGACTTTGTGCAATTCTGCCTCACTTAAATCTAATTCACTCACTGGTCAAGACCTCACCCCAATGATGCCATTGGTCCTCTTCAAAATAAAGGACAAAACCTTGCTCAACAGTGCTGGGTCTTTTCTGCAGCACCTAGTATACACCAGATCTACTAAATATTTACAAAAGTCTGAGATGCCAATGTAAATACAGGGGATTTGAATGTGAAACAAAAAAGCTTTCATATGCAAGACTAATTTTCTCCTAAGTAACTGACCTCTCTTCATTTACCAACTGGCCTGATCAAAAATTTCTGTCAGGATTTTCAAGGCCCCTAGAACAAAGGCCATTTCAAAAAAAAAAAGTCTACAGATAGCTGTTTCTTGGAAGGAATGGAATCTAGACTGAAGATTCCTAAGAGTGACCTAATCTGGGGTCACCAAAACTTGGCACAGGTGGTTTAAAATGGGTCCTATCTAAAAAGTGGCAGAGCTTTCAAATGGGCTTAGCAATTATGATTTGAGAGGTACATAACTGGAAAAGGAGATGGGTCAGTCAGGCAGCAATAATAATCATGGCCATTCTACTTGCTTTTCCCAAGGCACAAGTCAGACTTGTTAAAACTTGTCAGACTGTCATCTTGGACTCTGGTCAAAAATCTTCTGTGCCTTCTCACTTTCTGTAAGACACAAACTCCACATCCTATTAAGATCCTCACTAATCTGCTTCCCATCTACTTTTCAAATTTAAAACAAACCGTTTCTTAAATGCAATCTTTCACCTCTCCTATGTGTCCATTTGGAGAAGCCAGCTCCCATACCTGGAATGTACAACCTCCTCCTCACTGCCACTCTTCAGAAACTATTTCTTCTTTCAGGGTTAAGTTGGGGTGACACCTCCTCTGGGAAGTCTTCCCTGAACTCCTTTTTAAGTAAGCCTTCTGTCCTCAATTTCCTGGCATTACATTATACTTGTTGATTTGTTGTTGTTCTCTTGCATATAAATTATATGCAACATGTCCCCAAAGACTTCTGAAACAACCTGCATATTGTCTATGTGAATTCCTCGAGGGCTTCTTTTTGCCTTCCTATACCTAAATCCTAGCGTTAGCAGGGTTTGACAGCAGGCCAGAGCCAAAGTACCAGTAGTCAGGTAACCGTTAATCAATTAGTTTCATTATGAGGAGCAGATCTGCAAATCGGGAATTGTCCTGATCAGAATTCCACCTGGCTGAAGTGAAGACAGAGACTCTACACATAAAGCACAAGTGGAGAAGGGGGGGGCGAAGGGCGATTATAAACAATGTTTTCCCAGGTTGGAGCGGTTTCCCACAACAAATCCACAAATAGAAGACAATACAATTCTGGAGTCCTGTGGGAGCATTACTGCTCAAGTCCGGGGGGGGGGGTGCCCTTACTTGGTGAGTCACAGGACCAGAGTTCTGTGCCTGGAACAGGTTCTACAGTCAGTCAAGCAAACAGTCTTTGAGTCAGTTCACTTCAGGTACACAGGCAGAAGGATGCCAGTGATAGTGAGCCTTGCCAACGTTTGACCGACCAGTTCAAGCTGCACTGTGAGTCTGACTCACAAGAAAGGCAATTCTGAAAAACCTAATCCCTTAGTACATTCATATAATTCCCTTCACACTGGTAGAGGGTCTTGCCACTGGACTCCAATGGCTCTGGAGGAGGGACCGAGGGTGACAACTCTGCACGGCTCTGCCTCACTCACAAGCCAAGGCTTCACACCCCTTACGTCACTGCTCCTCTCCCAATGCACCTCCTCGTCCAGAGCCTCGCACAGCGCAGGCATCCAGGATTGGAATCGCCTTCTCCACCTCGCAAAGGCAAGAAAGGCCACAAAAATGGGCGGCTTCAGCAGAGTAAGGTACGGTGGAGAGGACGCCCACCCGCTTCAAGCCAGACGCTCCCTCTGTCCAGCGGGAGGCGGGGCAGGGCCGGACCTCCCTCACAGTCTGACTCAATTTAAAGAAGCGCTGCTTCAGGACCAGGAGGGGCACCACGGGCCGGACCTTGCGGACCACACCTGAGTGGCCGCACGTGGCCGGACTGGATGACCTCTCGGGCCCTTCCAATCCAAATCTACGATCTATGAGACTGGGCCCGCACCCCGCAGGCCGGAGGCGGGATGAAAACACGCTTCCGTTACACAAGTCAACCTTCCCAAGGGGGCAGGGACCCAGAAATGCGGTCGGTCATCGGCTGCATCCACAGCCACAAACACCTCGCGGGTCAGGGACTTCGGCCACACAGCCCCGCGTGCGTGGGGAGGGGCGGCGGGCAGAAGCACAAGTCCCTCGGCAGTGAGGCGGGATCCCCAGCTCCCTCCCGAAAAGCGCGGGGGACGCTTTGACTTTACCCTTAAGCCGCTTCCGCCCCATTGGAGGCGGGTCCGCTCCAGCCTCCACCCGCCGTCGCGCATGCGCAGCGGAGGCTCGGAGTCCACGGGGTCAGGGCAGCGCGGGAGCGCACACCCTGCTCCCCCGCCCTCCCCGTCTGCGCCCCCTGGAGCACCGAAGCGGGGCAGCAGCTTACCATAACCCTCTCCCCGCCCCCAGGCCGACAGGCGGCGGGCCCCTCTCCCCCCGTCCCGCCCCGCCCCGCCTCTATGGCCGCCCTCTCCCGCTCGTCCACCGGCTCCACACTGTCTGTCCCCGCGCCTCCTCCGTTTTACCTGAAAAGATCCACCCCATCCTAGGAGACCTGCAGCATCACCGGGGGGGACTCAGGAGGGCTTGGCGGCCGCGCCTGGAGCGGCTGAGCGGCGGGGGTGGGGATAGTCCCCGTTCTCTTTCCCCCGACCCCGGCGATGGAGGCTCCTCGTTCGTAACAAGGACGGGTGGTTACGGCCTCCCCCCCTCCCTGTCCCTCCCACACCCCGACCGTGTGCGCGCGCCCCTGCGCGAGACCTAGGCCCCACTCCTCGAGCTCGCCTGGGCTTCCGTTTGCAGGCGCGAGAAGGGGGCGGGGCGCTCAACCGCCTGCCCATCCTCCTCGTGGCCCGCCTCCCGACGCCGCCGTAACCCGGAGTAACGAGGGCGGGCGAATGAGAAGACTCCAGGGGCGGGATGGAGAGCATGAGCCAATCAGAGACCCAGCTCGCTCGGAGAAGGCGGGACTTTCGAAATGCCACGCCCCCTGGGAGCCCTGGAGCACGTGGCGCCCGTGGCTTCAAGCCAGGGCTCAGCTCCCGACCGCTCCAGGCCCACGAGCTGGCAGGGCATGCTGAGGCCGCCGGCACCGTGACAGAGGACCTGGATTCGAATCCCGCCTCCCTCCCTAGCCCTTTACCTTGGGCCCCAGTTTCCTCCTCTGTAAAATAAGGAGGCAGGGTAGCAGCTTTTTATTCTCCCCTTTACACTCTGAAAAAAGCCGTCATTCTCCCTGGAGGAGTGGTTGGGTTTTTTTTCAATGTGGATTTTATCCGTAGCTACCATATTAGACAATAAAACGTCTTGGTGTGATGAAAGCAGTCGTGACCTCGTAGGCTTCCCTGGGGAACCCCTGGGAACTGCCCCCCAGCTCTCATTCCAGGACCCTGTGATCCCTTGAGGTGGATGGGTTTGAGGTAGCAGATTCCAGCCCTGGCTACTTAGTGTTCTAATGAGAAAGAAGATAAAGAAAGAGAGAGGGAGGAAGGAAGGAAGGGAAAGAAAGAAAAGAGGAAAGAAGGAAGAAAAAGAGAAAGGAAGGAAAGAAAAAGAAAGGAAGAGGAAGGAAGGAAGGAAGAAAGAGAAAGAAAAGAGAAGACAGACTCCTTAAGAGTTTGCTTTTAAGGGAAAGGGCATCCTAATGAGTAGAGAAATGCTCCCCTCTACTTGGGAGTGAACCCTCTGGCTGCAGTAATTCATGGAACAAAGAAAATGCAACTGGAGCCTGAATAGAATCCGTTTCTGCAGTGATTGATGGTGGCACATTGACCAGCAAGGAGAGCAGGATGGGCAGGGGCTTGGGGGTCAGCACTGTTGGAAGGGATGTAGACCTGCAATGGACCTCCAAAGCCCTTTAGTCCACTCTCCTGATTTATGGACTTGCCCATGGTCAAGCATTAGGGGCAGGCTTTGAATCCTGGTCTATCCAACCTCAATCAGTCCACAAGCATTATTAAGCACCTGCCAAATTCTTGGTGTTTGGATGCCTGCCCACAGGAAGTTGACTTGCAGTGGATTGAAAGCTAGTCTTAGGGTCAGGAAAACCTGAGTTAAAATCTGACCTCAGATATTACTAGCTGTGTGACCTTGGGCAAGTCACTTTGCTTCTATTTGCTTCAATTTCCTCAACTGTAAAATGAGGATAATAATAGCACCTACCTTCCAGGGTTGTGGGGATAAAGTGTTTAATACAGTGCCTGGCAATATAAATACTATAAATACTATGATTATTACTACTGTTATTATTATTAGAAATACAGTAGGCTAGGAAGGTACTAGCAGTTAGGAGATTTTTCTTAAAAAAAAAAAAGATAAGGACAAAGTGTTGAGGCATTGAGATAGATGATAGCATGCCTTTTGTGAGAAACAGAAAAAAAGAATTTGTAATCAGCCCAGTCCACAAGGTTTCGAGATTGCCTCCAACTGTATTTAGCTACATGGAAATGGGAGTGATGGAGGAGACAGATAGTGGGAGGAACACAGAGTTGGAGGCTTGGCAAGGCCTGGAAAGGTGATAGGACAAGGGGTCAAAGGAACTAAGATGGCATTAAATTGATTCACTGAAAAGTCAAGATAGGGAGGGGAAGAGAGAACAGCCTTTGCAGGGATGACAGTATGGAAAAGAACTTAGGAAGGGAGAGCCTGGAGATTGAGGCAGAGATGAAGGAGAGAATTAAGGCATAAAATGCAGAGGGGAAGACGGAGTGATAAAAAGATCTTCAGATAAAGGACTCTGGAATACTGCAGTGGGTAGAGGTGAGGTCAAGGGCATGACCTCCGTGTGTAGCTGAGGTGGAGTGGAGGGCAAGTCTTGGGAGGTTAGTAGATTGTTGTCGTTGCTGTTCAGTCACGTCTGACTGCTCATGACCTCCGTAGACCACAGCACGCCTGTACTGTCTAGGGGGTTTTCTTGGCAAAGATACTGGAGTCAATTGCCATTTCCTTCACTAGTGGATTAAGGCAAACAGGTTAAGTGACTTGCCCTGGGTCACACAGCTAGTAAGTGTCTGGAGGCTGGATTTGAATTCAGGTCTTCTTGACCCTAGGCCCAGATCTCTACCTACTTCCTGAGTGCAGGAGTCCAAACACCAAGCATTTGAACTCAGGTCTTCCCTACTCCCCCCACAACCCTCTATTGACTGAGCCACCTCACTGCCTCACTGAGTAGATTAAAGAACTTGAAATTGGGGTATCCGAGGGAGAGAGGGAATATTTGTTGAAGTTCCCTAGTTATGAGGGCAGGAGATGGGGAGAATGAAGTCTGTGAGCCAGGCATTGAAACTCATTGAAGAAGAAAAAATGTCTTGGGAAGGAAGTAGGTACCAGCCCCTATGATCTGGAAGGGCTGATAAATTTGGATAACCTGGACCTCTAAGGACCAGAGGTAGCATAATGAAAGTGGGTCTGGAAGTGGAAATGAGGAAGAAAGAGTATAAAACTGAAAACTGATTTTAATTCTATTTTGAGACTTAAACCAAGCTGGCATAGGTTTATATGTTCTCCTATGCCAAGTAATTCCAAACACTTTACCTTGGTAACTTCATCCTTCCCCTACATTCTGGCGGAAATTTACCTAAAGGCCAAGTTTTTGTCTTGTAATTTACCTCCACTCTGAACACAATTCTATTGTGAATTGATTCAGCATCCTTATATTGTCTACCTTCGTAAGGATCACTCAGCTAGTAACTGTCTAAGGCCATATTTGAACTCAAGTCTTCCTGACCCATCTTCCTGAGTTCAAATCAGGCCTCAGACACTTATCAGCTGCATGGCCCTAGGCAAGTCACTTCACCTTGTTTGCCTCAGTTTCCTTATCTGTAGAATGAGCTGGAGAAGGAAATGGCAAACCACTCCAGCACCTCTGTCAAGAAAACCCCAAATGCGGTCATGACTGAAGCCACTGAACAACAATGAAAGCTGCCCTAATCCCACTTCCTCATTAAAAATGTCTGCCAATTGGGATCGTTTTATCTTGGGCAGAGGAGGTTCAAATGAGGTCTGGCAAATCAAAAGGAAGGCACACCTAGGTTTGAAAGATCCAGTCAGCCCTTGCTTGGGGTCATTTGGCAGAAGGGAGGCCGCCATTTCTACCCGTCTCTGTTAATAAACTGAAAAAGCTCAGAAATTTTAAACCTCAGTCTGCTTTGAGGCAGCTGGTGGCTCAGTGGATAGAACACTGGGAATGGAGTCAGGAAGACCTGAGTTCACATCCAGCCTCGGGCACTTCCTAGCTGTAGAACCTTGGGCAAATCACTTAATCTCTGATTACCTGACAAAATGGACCCACTGGATCTAGAGGAGAAGGAAATGGCAAACCACTCCAGTATCTTTACTAAGAAAAATCCCACCTGGAGTCAGGAAGAGTTGGGCCCGACTGAACCACAGACTACCTTCCTTAGTTTCTTTCCCCAAAGAAGCATTCCCACTTCCCCATCATTATGACCGACGAGTCAGAGGCAGCCAGCATTAGAAAGAGTGATGCGGGAAATGGTGTCATCAGTAGGGAGCCATGTCTCCAAGGAGACCAAAAGACGGAAAGCATAAGAAAGGCTTCAGATGAAAGGAAGTTTGTTGGTTATGGAGCAAGCATTCCAGAGGGCCCATCTGGATTGGGACACTGGAGAGAGGGCTGAGGTGGATAGGTGTGAGAAACTATCAAGGCAAGGATGGGGAATGGGGTCATGGCCATGAGGCATGGTTGACTATGTTCTGTGTTGTGTTATGTTATAAAGCTGGTTCAGTGGATAGAATGCTGGGACTCAGGAAGACCTGAATTCAAATGTGGCCTGAAGATAGTTCCTAGCTGAGTGATCTTGGGCAAGTCACTTAACCCCTGTCTGCTTCAATTTCCTCAACTGTGAAATGGGAGTGATATAGCACCTGCCTCCTAGGGCCTTTGTGAGGGTCAAATGCTGAACACAAAAGCTTCTTCCCTTCCTCGATTTAATAGCTCCGTGACCTTGGCAGGCCGATTTGCATGTCGACTCCTCTGTTAGAATGGGAGTTCCTTCCGGAAAGATTATAACTTTTGTTTGTATCCCCAGAACTTGGCATGCTGTCAGGAGCATCATAAATGTCCAATAAATGCTTGTCGACTGATTGGCTTTCTGTAAGGTATCAACCCAGCTGTCCTTATATAACCTTCCCAGAGGCTCCAAGTAGTCAGTTCATAATTGTATGAGTTACAGTGTTTAAAACTCAAAAACCAGCTCCATGCAAATGAGCTGATAGACCCCAAAGGATGGACCTCCACGTCCTGCAGCCATCATTCCCTCCGGCATTTCTCTGCCTTCAAACAGCATATCAGCATATTCATCTGAGAGGAAGTTCCCTATCCGGTCTGTGGTCTGTATCTTTCCTCAATATTTTTATCTGAGAGACTCTTTGTAAGTTGATTTTTGTCATTATTCTTTACACAAGGGTTCTTTTCCTACCCCTTTGAGCAACTAAACTGTTCGCATTTGAAAGTGAAAGTTCCTCTAGTGAACATTTGCAGCCCTCTACAAATTATTTTTTCCAGTTTTTTATGTTTTTCTTCTACAACCATTCCATTTTATCTTATTTTCAGTTCCAGATTCTCTCACTCCCTGCACCCCCTCCCTTAGCCATTGAATAAGCCTCAGGAAATTAAAGACTTGAGCTAGAAGAATAATGTGCAAACATCATCTACCAAAAAAAATCAAATATCCAACACAATTATAGTCGATCAATACCAAATAATTTTTCACTCAAGAAATCAACATA